AGGAAGAATGACGCACGGTTTATTGCAATTAAAACGGCACAGGAACGAAAGGTGTCAGTTGGTCTTGGTGCATTCTTCACTCGCGACTCTCGTTTCCCTGTCACTGTGCTTTGTTTATGGAACTTTGCTTTCTTTCAATGCTCTTTTCTTTCACTTGTTTCGTTTCATTTAATTAAAGCGCACGGGTTCCTTTCGTCACTACATTATGTGGCGCTGTGCTACGAATCGTTTAGAGACGCTTTCCACTCTGCGGATGGAAAGGGTTCTTGCTCATTGAGACAGATGTTCCCACCGGAGAGGTCGCATGGCAGCTGAGAGGGTTCTCTAGTGTGGCAGTTTGCCACCGGGAAAGTCGCGCTTAATAAGGCGGCACCATGGAAGGCAGAATAGTGCCACCGGAGGTCGCACCGGCCGAAAATGGCTTCTGCAGCTGGCCGTCGTTCCTTCAGTCGCGCGTTGCGACGAGTCCAGTCTTGCGGTAGCAGACAACAGGCAATTCTAGAGCCTCTATGGTGTGGGACTCGATCCGAGAAATGGGATCCGGGTAAAGGAGTTGCATTTCTACGGTGGCCGAAATCTATGAACTGAATGGCGCTTTTTCAAGCACATTGAGCGCGGACATGGCATGGCGTGACGCTGCGCAAATTGTAAAAGAACCAAGTTGAAGATTGTGTTAGTTTTCGCACTATTTGCAAGTTTCTGGTGGCACGGCAACACGAAATTTGTGTTGCCTGCATCACGTTGGCAACGACGGATTTGTGTGAAGGGCAGGCGACGGATTTTGACGGACATCCTGTCTGTTTCAAACAAGTTTTGCTCGGAACGTATTGTTTCTCTTGAAGGCATAGTGTCTGGTTGACTTGCAAGCGAAACCCACTTCAATAATCTCAACTTGAAATCAAGTCCAAAAAGAATAAACGGTCGGCAACGGAAGAACGGAAGAACTCATCCTCTATGCGCCGATCAGCTGGAAGAAACCAATTCACAATAGAAGTGATCTGGTGTTAAAGCAGGTTGCATCAAAATACATAGCAAAGCGATGTTCCCTTGCATGGTTCTCTGGACTCCTTCTGGGCGAGAGGGCGTCTAGAGCGCTTCGAAGAAGTTTGAAGGGAGAAACCTGAAAAGGACAGTCCTAAGCCCTTCACAGTGCCCAAACGATTCTTTTTTGGAAAAAGGAAGTTCTCCACAAAGGAAATGTAGTTGGGCACTTCACCAAAGGACCAGATCCGAAGACTTAGCCCTGTTTTGGAGACCGAAGTTTTGCACTCAAGTGTTTGTCTTTTGTTCAAGAACAATGCGGGAATCCTCAACCCGGTGCGTTCCACTTTCACCACATTTTCATCTAGCTTGTACGAAGTCCATTTCTTGCTCGCAACAATCGAAAAACAGGCTAAAGGGGGCAGTCCATTGACGGCGGTGGTAGAATGGCCAGGTTGTTTGGTTTTGGCACCTACTTTTTCCTGGTTGTTACTCGATGATGATCGATGCCTACTCTTCATCTCGCTGAGGCTGCCATAGCTTTTGTATACACTTCGTCTTCGCAGTAGGGCGTTGTCTATAGTCTGAGTTTGGCACTTTTTCGTTACACAATAGCTGATTCCCTTTTGGTTGCCACCAATTGTCTGGTCTCTGCTTGTCGACGGGATCATCGCACTTCAGGCCGCATAGCGCCAACACAAACACTCAGAGTTTCGGTTGTTCTCAACGATGGGTATCCTACCGCTGCTGCCTGATGCACGGGCTTTTAGCATTGACAGTCTTCAAAATCCAGGTTCGTTGGTGGCAAAGATTGTGTTACATGAAGCAACCCTCACGTTCGTGAAGTCAGCATGGAAAAAGCGCAACACGCAACTATATTTCGTGTGTGCATCAAGCTCGCATCGCAGCATTAACTGCAACATCGTCGACTAGCAAGCCGGCCAAAGCACAGGTGCTGATTGCTCGCAATGCGATTGGCCAATAGCCGGTTTTTGTTGTTGCAGATGTTGGGCTCGAGCTACTGGAATAACGACAATATGCTTCGGTCGTGTAAAGGTATGATGACCATGCTAGTCAGTAGAGTTTGCGCCCATGTAAGGGTCGCCAGGCAACATGTTTGTCATGAGACACGTTGATTGGCTTTGATAGTTTTGTGTGCAGCACGCATGTATGAACGGTTGACGGATGGGCGTTGTCCTTACTAGGTTACCAACTTGAGAGATGTTGCGCTATTTTGACCCTAAGGCCACCTGAACCTGTTCTCGATCGCTCGGGCCATACATGGCATGAGCTGTCTCACACATGCTGCGTTTGACTCGGTTGAGCCGCAAAATTCTGATTCAACGTGGCCGGCACAGGATGGGATGCCAAACCAGACTTGGAACGATTTCTGACATGCTTTTACCGGTACTTCGAGGTGGCTCGGATTAGCTCGGATATGTGCAGAACAAGGTGCTTGTTCTATCCACACGTGAAGCCAAGGTGAAGGGGTTGCGCGGCGTTGTTGCTATTCATTTGTCGTCGGGACCCCAACTGCAACACAGCAGTGAATTCACGTCCTCCCGGGCTGAAGAAACTTGCTGAGGCATGTGGTGGCACTTGCTTTCACGATTGGATTCTCGTTTGTCCTGTCACTTGCCGCACCCATAACTCTTTACGAGCGGCACTTGATGACGAAGGGCCGGTTTCTGCTTCCCTCACATGGAAATCTGGCTTATCATGTGTTAAGGTTATTTCTCATTGACTGGGAAGCTCTTTTGGCTTGTGATTCTGAGGAGTCCAGTTCTCGGACTTGGCACACCAGTACATGTTCCGAAACGTTGCGGACTCTGGAGGTCATGTCGTTCCATATCCATTTATTATGCGAAACCGTTTCGCGACCTGGGATTTCGACGAGCAGGGGCTGTGATCTTAGTTTTCAAGGTGTGCAAATAGTAGGTAGGTGGCAGACTGGACATTTCTTCCACAGGTCTTGGTGTGCACGGTCCTCTTCGTCTTCTATGGGGCAATGAATGCGACTCGTGTGCAAAAGGCTAATGGATGCCGTCTTGCATGACAAGTGAATCCGCAGATGCAGTGGCAACAGCTTTGCAGAGGTCGCGACAGTGTACCAAGACATTCGCGATGCACAATCCGTCAGTACCTATTATAAGGCTGCCCGGATGGATTCGATTGAAACTCGGTGTTGCATTTCCATGTGTCGCATGCTGCACCTTCTGAAGCCAGGACCGGCTGGGCATTGCAGCGGATGAAAGTTTAGAAACTATGACATGGTCTGAAGTGGTGTCCCGTCTCGTCCAGCAGCAGAAGGAGCGTTGCCTTGCATCGGGTCTGGGAAGGTGGTGAGCACAAGGCAGCATCCGTCGGCGAGGAGTCTCGCTTCTGCATTGTTCAAGATGAGCTCACAGCCTTGGAAATTGCCAACATCATTATGCGCGAGGCGAGGCGAGGTGTTCTGGAGAGGAGGCTTTCTGTCGGGTGACTCACAGGACAACTTCATGATTGGCTTGACGAGCCACAAGGCCAGGGCGGCCAGGGGCCCTTTGGCATAGCAACGGCATGCCATGGCCGCCATGGCCTTGAGAGGCGTTCACCGAAGGTTTGCCCTGCTGGATCCCCCGACGCCTTGCCCGGGACCCTGGAGCTGGCGGGCTGCCTCGAGCTCGAGCATTGCCTTGGACCTTTTCGCTGCTTCGCTCAGGTCTTTACCAAAGCGGTGTTTTGGAATCTTCGCCTTGTGATTTTCCGCTGGCAGGGAGTTTGTAACTCAATGACATTGCCCCAACTTGGGGAGGCAAACGTAAACCCATTCAGTGAAGGTGCTCGATGACCGCGGACGAATCAGACGGGATTTCTTGAATAGGCCAGAGGCCAGGACACAGCTCTGCAGATATCTGACAAAGAGTACGCAGCTAAGTCTCCGATTCAAAGCATCATTCTGTTGGACCTGAACCTTTTGCATCGGCTTGCAGACTACGGTAGGACAGGTAGATCCCTCGAAGGGACCCCAAGCGCCGCTTACCGGATGGCAGTTGGCAAGAACAAAAGACTAACCAAAGGTGGAAAGAAGGGAGGCAAGAAGAAAGCAGGCGATCCATTTCTGCGAAAGGAATGGTATGACATCAAGGCAGCATCTTGTGCAGCCGGCCCTTTGCACCCACAGCAACGTTTCCACTTGTGTTTGATTGAAAGCTGTGATTGTTCTCGGCAGGCGCCTAGCATGTTCTCCGTTCGGAACTGCGGCAAGACTTTGGTCTCCCGGACTCAAGGGACCAAAATTGCGACAGAAGAGCTCAAGGGCCGTGTCTTGGAAGTGACTGGTCAGCACGGATGGTTGAAGTTCTTCGATGCACGAGTGAACACGAATCTTGGCTGCGCTGCAACTGAGGTGAACCTCGCGGACTTGAACAACGACGAAGATCAGGCCCCCAAGAAGATCAGGCTTTGCATCGAGGAAGTTCAGGGCAGGAGTTGCTTGACAGACTTCCACGGCATGAACCTGACACGGGACAAGATCTGCTCCCTCATCAAGAAGTGGCAGACTCTCATCGAGGCGCATGTGGATGTGAAAACGACAGACAACTATGTCGTGCGCATGTTTTGCATAGCATTTACGCAGCGGAGACCAGGGCAAGTCAAGGCCAACTGTTATGCGCAGTCAGCTCAAATCAGAAAGATCCGACGAAAGATGGTTGAAATTATGACCCAAGAAGCTTCGAAAGTTCAGCTCCGTGAGCTTGTGAAGAAGCTCATTCCCGAGTCTATCGGCAAGGAGATCGAGAAGCAGGCGCAGGGCATCTTCCCCTTGAAAGACTGCCTTATCCGAAAAGTGAAGATTCTCAAAAAGCCAAAGTTCGACATCACGAAGCTGATGGAACTTCACGGTGACGGTGGCGAGGATGTCGGCGCTGAGATGATGCGACCAGAGGCTGAAGATGCAATGAACACATTGACAGCTGATGTCGCTGCTGCGGAGGAAGACTGAGATGCCATAGTCAGATTGAAACCTCTGTACAGGACGGGCGGCTTGGGGCGCACCTGAAAATCATGCGATCAAGAGGAACACTGGGCCGGGACACTGACCAATCTGCAGAGGCACTGGCACGTAATCTGCGTCTGTTGGGCTTGCTGGCGTCTCAGCCTTTCTTGGGATCTGATTCGGAAAGTGTGAGTATGTGAGCTGCCACAGGGCCAACCTGGTGCTTGTTCCCCCGGTGTTGATCTTCGTTGCGCTCTACTTCTTCATGAGCCGACATCCGAGTTGCGAAGCCTGGCTGTTGCTTGTTCGCAGTTGTCGACTGAGGACATGCAGAAGAATTCCGTTCCCAGAGGGCATCGCCGTTTCAAAGGCAGTGGACAGACTACGCCCCCTGGCAAACGGTTTATCAAGCCCTTGCCTTTATCTACTCAGTCCAGTCTCGGGTTTCCCAGCTGAAGGCCCAATGGACATTCAGGGAGTACAATGAGCTGCCCCACGAGTTCAATGCACCTGGCTCAGTGCTCAATGGCTGACAAATGTCCCTGCATCCCTGCTCAGGCCAGAATGTGTGCCGCCCAAGCCGCAGCTGAGGACACGGAAGCAGGGTAGGTAATTTGGTCTTGTGGCCTGTGCGAACATTCGTCGAGGCGTATGTCCATTGCACAACGCCTTCCTCACCTGTTCTCAAGTCTGTGCAGCGTTGTGTCAAGTTCATTGCAGGCAGGCTTGTCGTGCAGCTCTTTGATGTCATGCTTGTGTGTCGGAATGCCGGGGTCGCTGCGAATCCAAGCCCTGTCCTGATGCACCTACACGGTTTTACCATCGACCTGACATCTCAGGGAATATAAGGAGTGTAGTTGCTTCAAAATGGCACTGTAGGGAGAAACGACACTGGAACATGATTTTCATTGGCTGGCAGACGCGGGTGACAATTAAGCGAACTTTGAGCAGTGTGATCTCGGTTTGTTGCGAAGCCGGTGGATGATGTTGGCATGTGGTAGGTTGTGTCTGATTGTTGTAGGACAAGCTGGTCACCCGATGGTTGATCTTCTTTCAACTGTGTCCAGAAGAAACCAGATGATGGGCTGCTCACGGGCGGTCATGGTCTAGGGCCGGTCACTGCGAAATCCCAACCTATCGAGAACCATCAACCGCTAACCAAAACTCGAAGAGCATTGCCACAGCCAGAAAAATCAAATCCGAGGTTGCTCACACAAGTTCTCAAAGAATGCGCGACATTTGGAAATGCGACCAGCGCGCGTCTGCTCGGAGGTGCTGTTCGCGAGACTTTTCATCACTCAAGACACATTGAGCTCATGCCATCCGCTGGAACCGTGCTGCTACAGTGGGATTTCCAGCCAGGTGCCTGGTGTGAGCTGATCATAAACACAATGCTCATTGGTGTCACAGAAGACAGGACATCATACCGAACCTATCCAGTGTTACTCTTGCGTGCGGATGCGGAGACAAGATTGACCTGGCAGGTTCGGTGTTGGCTGCCTTACTGCTGGTGGCTTTGTGGGATGCTCCTTGCTCAGTTTCTGGAAAAAGTCCACTCGCAGCGCGTTGTGTGAGTCAGACTTGAAGAGGACACCCCGTTGCTCTTCGTGAAGGTCCAGGCCAGGCTTGGGCTGCCCACGTCGCTACGCTCCGCTTCCCCCCAACTCCAGGAGAAGAATCTGCTCTGGTATCTGGCTTTCTTTGGTGACCCCGATGCATGGGCGATGCTGGGGAGCCGACAAGTTGTCCTGGCTCAGGTTTTGCCTTTGCAGTGGCTGATGGCGCCGGTGATGAAGATGCAGGACCTGGATCATAAATCTGCTGTGCTCTTCATGATGTGTTCGGAAGAGTACAGTACATGTTGTGTGCAAAATGTGCGAAGGCTCGGGAGGTTCTGGAGCCTCACACGCACCAAGCATGCCGCAGTCATCTCAGCAGCTGATGCGATCTACTTGTGCTGATCTACAACCTTAAGGATGTCGTCCTGAAGACGAGGTTGAGGATGCATATTGCATTGATGCGGCTGGTGTCCTGCCGTGGCCTCAGGCATTTTTGCACCAGATTACATGTGCGTTGTGCAAACCGTCGATTGCGTCAGATGAGTTTGAAGCAACAAAGACGGCGGGATGTGAGGTACCCATTACTTGCCAGAGCACTGGCGCTCTCCTGCACGGCTAACATCACTCGCAGGCAGAACTCGTTGGTTAGGTCACAGATGATAGTTCGAATCATGTTTACTGCAAGGGCAAAAACTTCTGCATCAGTCACCTGACAGGAGCTTGTAGTGGATTACAGCGTTCAGACCTAAGAATCCTGTCATACTGCCTTGCAACGCTGTATCCCTTGGCTCTGGCTGGTTTCTGACTGCCAGGTGCAGAGCTCTGTGACCACTTCCGTCGAGTCCGACGGGACGGGGTTTCGATGCCACACCCGGATTGGCACGTCATGACTGTGATGACCCTGTAAACCGCCGAACTTAAATGAGGGGGGCTTACAACCCCCCTCAACCATTTTTTCTGGACCAAAACGCCCCCGAACCAGCCAGGTTAGTTTCTGCCACCGGTTCTGAGCACTGCCTGGTTGACTGCTTTCCCATTCTGGACAATTCCTGTTGCTAGCGGCTGGTGGTGCATGTTAGTTTCCGCATGTTTCCGCCACCGGGTATGAGCACTACCTGATGCATCATTTGAGTGTCCGCATGTTTCCGCCACCGGGTCTGAGCAGTACCTGATTCGAAGAAGGCGTACGGGTCTGAGCAGTACCTGATTCGAAGAAGGTGTAGGCCAAGGGCGTCGAGTCGGTGCCGATGGCTGCTTTCCGATTCTTAGCAATTCCTGTTGCTAGCAGCTGGCTTGTCGAGTTGTACTCAATACATATTGTGAAAGGTGAAAGTCGTTGCCGGCCCCTTGTTTTGCCAACAGTCTTTGAGTCAAAAGGGGAATAAACAAAGAAGAAGGCATTACTTTTCGCGTTTAAGAAGGGTTTAGCCTCAACTTTAGAACGAGGGGAGGGTTTAACCTGCATCGAGGGGAGGAAATACACATCTCACAGCGTCCAAGCTGCGGTTAAGCATTCGGAGACCGGCCTGGCATGCATCCAAACATCATCTGCTTCAGCCTCCACACGGGTCAAGCATTTCCGGGCCGGGCGTGTCATGCATGCATGCAATCTTCTGGGGGGGTGGTTGGGCTCTTTCAGTGGACTCGCGCGGTTTCGGGGTTCCTGGTTGCTGGGGTGGCGGGCTTCTTGGTTTAGGGTTTATTTAGGGTTTCTGAGTTGCGGGCTTCTAAACTTAGGGGTTTGTGGTTTTGCTGAACAGCATGCACTGGCTGTTCTGATGATGGGCCAGGCATCTTAGGACACTGCCATGGCTAGCGAATTGAACGGCTCAGGCTTTTTCTCAGCAAGGCACAAGATCTGAACATTCTGCATGCTAAAAGCTTATGGCGATGTCCCATTTCTGAAGTGTACAAAGGTGTGACGCGTGTTGTCATCGCAAGCGCATGCTGAACTTTGCCCAAGGGGTGGTGTCTTCGTAGCCACCCTAGAGTTGTGGAACGCAGCAGATACATGTATCGCACAGCTGCTTACACTGACTCAGCTCTGCACAAGGAGCGGATATTTCTCTACTCCTCCGTAGACTTGACGTTAGTCTTAGTCTGATCATCGTCGATTCCACTGCGCGATGAGGGCCGAGATCTTCGCTTTGTCGCAGACCTCGTAGTAGTGCAGCGTATGCCGACCATTTAAGTCTTTCTCTCGCCATAACCACAACACGTATCGCAGCTGCCTGATGGTAGGTCTTTGCTCCGTTTAAGCAAGATCTGCCAGACATCCGTCCAGGCGTCGTGCTTGATCATCTTTCAGACCTGAAACATGCATCCCTTCTGTTCGTAGTCCTTCGCGTAAACACTCACAGAGAAAACTTGCTCACATCTTCACTCACTCGAAGAAGTTCGTCTCTTGTGTCCCCAGTTGGTCTGACCGGGGTACGGGGTTCTGGAGATCGTCTCCTCGTAGCTTGTGGTTCCGGGCTTGGTGTCCGGACATCCCTTGTAGTAGTTGATCTCCTTGGCAAGCTGGGCGTCCGAGGCAACTTGTTGGAAGTAGGTCCATCGGTCCATCCCGGTTTGCCTCCTGCTGAACACCCTGCTCTGTGGCTCTGAGTCTCAAGGTTGCAGATGAGGTCGAGGAAGATGCTCCTCCTGAGGCAAGCTGAGGAGGAGTTCGCGGATTGTCCTCCCTCTCTTGTCCCACTCCCCATAATGCCAGGAGTGAGGCGTTCGAGCATAGCTTAGGGCCTTCGTGAGTAGATCCGCTGGTTGATGTTCTCCCGGGCAATGACGGAGCTTGACCAACCCATTATTGACTTGCTCTTGCAACCGATTGGCCTTGATTCTCAAGTGCCTCGTTCTGACTCGTTCTCCACGAGCTAGACCCAGAAGATATATTCAAAGCTGCCATACTGTCTGATGCGATTTCTCGCTCCTCCACAAACTCCCCGATATCGGCTTCATCGCCACTGCTCCATCGATCATGGCCAGTAGTTCGGCTTCTGCTGTCGACAGCGTTATCATCGGCTGCCTCCCACTTCGCCAAACTATTGGTACCCCACAATACATAACCACCCATCCACCATGTGAACGCGCGTTTTGTGGAGCATAGGCCGCGTCACAAAACATAGTTAGACCTTTGGTTCCCCAATGCACTTTCAAACCATAATGCGTCGTCTTCTGGAGGTAGCCAATCGCCTTCCGTCCTGTAGTTACAGCCTGATCTGGTACCTTGGTACACATACTTGACATCATCGACCTTGTATATGCTAGGTCTGGCCTCGACCTTTGCGAAACCCACAAAACTTCTCCTGTAAGCTGTTGGGCATGACGAACTTGGTCAACACCTGGGTCACTGCATTGATCTGGTATCACCGCCAACTCCTTGGTAATCGGTACACGATCCAGCTGACTGGGCTTTGTATTGTCTGTCCGGATCAGCTCCTGACTAAGCCCTTGTTGATGAATGTAAATCTCCTCCTCGGTCTCGGTTTCCCGATGTAGCTCCATCCCCAAGAAACGAACTGCACACTCGGGCCCCAGAACTGTCAACTCTGATGTATCCCATACTTCTTGAATAACTGAAGCAAGCTCATGCACAAGCTCCATAGGTCCACAAATCATGAAATCATCAACGTAGACCACGACTATTGCACAGACTGGTCCATCTGCGTCGCGAAGGGACAACCAAGAGGTAATCGCTTTCCCCGGCTTCCACTGAAGTCCACGCGGTGCTCTCATTGTCTGGAGGGTTGCATCACGGTAATTGGCCCACAGCCTTGGTGCTTCTCATAGCCCATACAAGGCTCGCAGTAACCTCCAGAGCTCCATCTGCTCGGAGAGCCCAAGCACTTCAAGCAGACAGAGAGGCTGTGCTGCCACCACGGGGTCTGTTTGTAGTCTGCCTAGTGGAGTCTCAATCGCTGAACTCTGGGAAAGTTGAGCCACCTCCTCCTAGCTTCTGAGCCAGGTGCTAGTCGCTCAATTGCAACCTCTATCCCACGAACCTCCTTGACCATAGCCGGTCGCCATTCCTCCAGGTTTGCCATAACTGTGTCTGGACTGGCATTGTGAATCACATCCAGGGGTCCTGTCAGGTTCTTTAACACCTCCTCGATGTCCACCTTCTGGACCTTAGGTATTGAATCCACTGCCACACCCTCTGCAATCTTCACTAAGCCCGGGTCAAGGTCCAAATGCATTGACCACCCATGTTGATGATCTCCAGGTTCGTGACTGGTTGTACTTCCTCACGAGAAACTTGTAGCGAACTCATCTCCGGTGATGGTCTCTCAATCTTCACTTTCCCATTGAACTCGGGTAGTTGAGATAGTGGCAAAGGAAACTCATTGTCGTGTAGAGCAAGTAAGCAAGTAGATCTTCTTGGGACAGCTTCCCCAAACAGTCTGGAGTATAAGCTATAAGAACAATCCTTTCTCCAGTCCATTCTGCTATTTGTGAAATCGTCTGCACCGAACTCAATACTTTCTCCAGCTTTCAAGGGTCGAAGTTGTCCATAAATCTTTTGTCCACCTGCAAGTCTTTTCTCTATTTGACCTTGCACTACGTCGCCCTCCTTTAGCTCAATCCACAACTCTCCTCCTTGCTGGGAAATTACAAGGGGAACGACATAGTTCTTTGTGTAATAGTCGTTGTTGATGTCCCTGTGCATATTCTTGGGAGTGTTGCAGGACACCAGCACTGATGTGAACCTGCTTCTGGACACAACTCAGCAACCACGCGTGTAAGCACCTTTGCCAGAGCTGGATATTCAACGACTCCTGTCATCTAACCCACTGCTCCACCATGACGATAAACCCCAAACTTCCTATCAACGAAGAAGGCATTCCTTGCCATATCCGTCACCAAGGCAAGAGCCTGCTCCAATCTCCAATCATGTAGTAGTGCTTCTGCCCGAGTTGTTGCTGACTCGTGGATCTCCTCCGGGACAGGGGTGTGTCTTCGTAGCCACCCTTGAGTTGTGGAACACAGCAGATAAAAGTATCACACAGCTGCTTACACCGATTCGGCTCTGCACAAGGAGTAGATATTTCTCTGGGTTTAGGGTTTCGGGCATTTGGGTTTAGGGGTTTAGGGTTTCTGGGTTGCGGGTTTCTGGGTTAAGTGGTTTAAGGTTTCTGGGTTCAGGGGTTCTGGGTTTAGAGAGTTTCTGGTTTCAGGGTTTTTGGATGTTTCTGGGTTTATGAGTTCACGCGTATCGGGTTCAAGGTTTCCGGTTTTAGAGTTTCTGGATGCTAGGGGTTTCGGCGCTCACACTCGCACAATCCTCACTCAGCCGACTGAAGACCGCACGTTGGGGGGTTTACGGTTTTTGGGGTTACAGTTTCTGGGTTGTTGGTGTCGGGTCGCATGAGGCCACGTAAGTCATAAATTGGAGACAGAACTTTGCCCAGCCTTGTTAGTTTTCCTCAGGTCGCCAGGATGGGAATGCAAACAATCAGCAACCCTAACGAAATCGGACATTAAATCTGCTGGTGCACCTTTGCTTCAGACTGCCAACATTCCAGCGCTATGCTGCCAGCCACTTTAGTTCCAATTTTTTCTGTCGCATGGTGTCCGTTGGGGGGTGGGGGGATACACTCTCATCGTATGGGGTTGCACACCCGTCAAACAAGTCAGTGTGTAACCTGCACAGGCAGTACACAGGGTCATGGGACGTGCACGCAGACACTTTGTCTATTTCGTGCCAGCATTGATGGAAGGAGCTTCTTCGAGATTTTTCGCTTCAACGCATTCAAGCCCTTGCAGAGGAATTGTTGGGCGTCTTGCTTAGTCCAATTCTGTTGATGTTCTTTCTTCCGGATGTCGCCCGGAATATAATTGGTGCTTTGGGATCGCTCCAGCACTCTTCACCGAATTTGGGTGACTGGTGCCTGTACGGCTGCTTGGACTCAGCCATCGTTGCCGAGAACAGCGGCGGCGCAGCGTCGTCGGCCGAAGGATGTCAGTCAGTACAGCTGCTGAATCGTTACGGGGACACCAATGAGAAGCTTGAAAAATCAGTGCTTTCCTTCTGCCTGAACCATCAGCTCGTTTGGCCGAGTTCTACAGATCGCATTAACAGCGAAACGTTTCAGGCGCCGTCGCATCCACCACGTGCTCATCAAGCTCGAAATCTTGGCCGCCAAATGATGCCCACATCGACGGCCTCTCGAGCTGCTAGGCCGCTTTGGCCCGGTCACGGGCATCAAGATATCCAACTCGAAGAGCTCAACAGTCTGAGTACGTCGCAAACCTCACCTCCAGACCTTCAAGGGGATGATGAGAATGGTGCGCTTTCTCCGCAGTCGCAGGCCGTCGCCGATACAGAGCCTCTGATTGATCTGGATAGCCATCAAGATTCCGCGAACGACGTTCCTGCCCAGCGCGGCACGACTTCGCCTGTTGCACGTAAGGAGCAGGTCCTTACGCACATTATTGGAGTTCCTCCGAGCGCGATCAACTTGTTGAATGACATTCAGGATTTTCACGAGAAGGAGACTTCAGAAGATCCTCTAAGTGGTGAGAAGGTCGCCCTGCTACCTCCAGACTTGGTCAAGCTTCCTCCCCTGGCACCTGGTCCGACAGCCCTTGCGGCTACAGCTGTGGGCCGAATAGGTGACGAGCCAGATCCTTGCCTGCAGCTGCCCGCATCTACAAAGCATTCACAGATTCGATACACGCGTTCGTGTATTGGCAAAAATTTTGAAAAAGCCATGAGCTTGCCTCGCAAAGGAATGGTCAAACACTTGTGGTCCGTGGTTTTACTGGTTGGAGGCGGGGATGGCTACCGCTCGTTACGTGCGGCATGCATAGATGCAATGCAGGCTTTGCGTGCATTCAAGGCCAGGCGCTTTGATCCTTGATCACAAGTAAAAGCAATTGGAACATCTTGCAGGGTGCATCTTCAAAGCCCCCACAGAAGACTTGAAGGGTCAAAAGGAAACAGCGGTGTGCAGCTGAGGACGAGTCGAGTTCTGGTTGCACGGGCCTCGGTGGAATCCTGCTCCATGGAACCTGCTATGCATCTCTTTCTTCTGGCTTCCTAAGCAGCATCAGCTTAAACTAAATGCTCCAAGTCGTTGTGCCTGATGCACATGCTGTGAAGTACTTGGGAAACAGCAAACCAGAAAGCGGGAGCAGTTCGTGCATGGCACAGGCCAGGGCAAAGACCAGTGCCCAATCTTTCCCCGTTCAACGTTGTGCCGTATTGTTCAAGTTGAAACCCAGATGTGGGCATTCGGAGCCAAACACGGAGCCAAAGCAACTCTGGCGAGTGTCGAAGCAAAGCTCTCCGTTTCATCCGCAGCAATGCGAAAGGTCATGTTCTTGCCAGACCTGCACATGGAGATAAGTTTCACTTGCTGTCAGTCAGTTTTTTCCCCAAGCCACAGCAGTGCCATCTGCACGGTTGAACCAGGCAAGAATCAAGAACAAGAACACTGGCCGGATGCCACCACTCAAAGTGCAATGCAATGTATGTCCATATCATATCATCTCCGATTCTCTGCGGTTGCATCCCTGCGACTTCGCGCCTCAGCGAAAATTGTGGTAGCTGTTTTTGTCCTCGGAAAGTCGACGAGACAGCTCTGGCTCGCTTGCCAACACACGCCGTTGATCTTTTGGAGGGTTCTTGCTTGCAAGGTCTCTGGTTCATGTCTCCCACCCTGAAGCTCCCAAACAATCTGCGAGGTGGGATGTTCAATCGCCAGCCCGTGACTCAAATCACTCATCTATGCCATTCTATGTAGAATCTAGCTGCATCTTCCGTCGCCAGGCCTCATGGAGTGCAAAGTCACTCTCGCACAGAACGCCTAGCCGCCCTGGCCTGACAGCCCGACCTCAGATGCGTGGCTCACAGCTGCCCAGAGCTTGCGATGCGCCCTCCTTGCGCATGTGTTGTACATAGTTGTACAGACTATCAGAATATGCGGCACCTGCCGTGGTGCACACGTTGTACAAAGACAGACTGCTTGCGCGGATGACCGGTAAAAGGGGATGCTTTCGGCAGGTCTGACCTTGAAGTCAGCAGTCTTGCGGCTGAACTTGCGTGGAGGATTCATGGAAAATCGTGCTTGTTGCGCACTCGGCGTAGGTTGGCTCAGGCATGGCACAACCTTTGTGTGGTTAGATGTGTTTGCGATGGCATCACTTTGGCTCGGACCTTCTGCGGGTGCCATAGGGTGCCAGGATGTCAGAGGCTCGTCACGAGAAGCTGAGGCATTGCTTGGCTGCTGGCATGGGCAGGCTGGCAGGGCTGATGCGTTGCGCAGGGCTTGACAGAAGAAAGAACTTGTAATTAGTGGCTGAATGTGGTCGACAGGTGAATCTGCCTCCGTGCTGGTCAGCTTGCCAGCAGTTGAGTCTGTCGCCACTTCTTGACATTGCCGGCATGTATGCCGCTTCAGGATATGATGACCCAAACAGAACCCGGGTCTGCTTGGAGGATGGGGACACAATCCTTTTGCAAGTTGAGACCTGCTTCTGCTGGCGAGGAATCCGTCCACTGGGCACAACTGCCCACCAGGCCGGCGGCCGGCTTGTGCCATCTTGCATCGCTGTGAGCTTGCTCACTCTTGACCTGAGAGTTGCTGCGTCCGAGTCGCGTGGACCTGTCTCAATGTGCTGGCTCGTGTGATCACCCTGCATGGTCTCCAGTGCTCTTCACATTGAGGTGTCGCAAAAGTCTGTGTGCATAGTCCCAGTTTGGAACTCCAATCCACGCAGCGCTGCTCTCGTGACTTGACATTGTTTGCAGAGGGGCTAGCACTGACACTTGCAAGGAAGAACCTGAACAGAATGGTGCTGTGAGAGCGGACCTGCTCCTTTAGAACAGTACCAAATCGAGGAAAGCAGCTGCAAGAAGGGCGAAAGGACGAACCATCCAGAACCTAGTGACTCCTCTGAAAAATTAAAGCCTGGCCTGCGGAGCACCGGACAGTTGGACACAAAATGCAGCTCTGCAAAACAAACACCTTGTCCAACACACCTCTTCGCTATTTGCTGGCTGCGTCATCAACCCACGCATACGGGCGACTTCTTAACAACGGGTTTAGGCGCATTTCTCTGAAGCAAAGCGTGCATTCCTTCGGTCAGCTCCGAGTGCTGACAGGTGCCTCCTTCTCTGTGCAATTTGGTGGCCACGGAGGCACGACGACAGCCTGTGTGTCAAGCCCTGTCAAGCCCAAAAATCAGGTTGTTTCTGCAACTTCGGGTTCTCCGGCCTTTTGCGCTGGGATCCTTCCGGAGGCAGGCGAGCACTCTGGGGCGAGTGGAGTGCGATGCAAGTCGGAGCTTACCGACGCCAGTCCGATAAGACGAATGAGAGGCAGCACCTGTTTCGAGATGTTCGGGTTGATAGTTTATCATGGGCTCATTTCCTCCACATCCGACCCAAACCCTTAAATCTTGCACCTGTCAATGCCGAAACCCGAATTTCCGTCTACATCTTCGCTCCTAACTCCACTTCATGTAACTAAGCGTTCGTCATTACCGACTCGCATCAGCCGCACTCTTTCGACTTGCACCAGCTTTGTCGCACTCGCGCGAAACCGGAGGTTCTTGTCTCACCAGTCCCTTATGGGATTTATTTCTGGCACTCACCCCTGCGTTTATCTCATGGGACGCGGCTTGCCAGCCATCATCGGTTTCGGGCTTGCAGGCTTTGGCATTTGTCGACCGTCAGGCTTGGTGGTATTGAACGGTTGCAGACCAAAACCTCAGATTCAGTATAATATTTTGAATCTGAGAGTGGCTCCTATATGCGCTTACACGTCATGATATTGTGAGCAACACTGTCCCTTGGGCTTTGGTTTTGGTTTGGGGCATACTCCTCTTGGGACATCGGGTCTGTCATCATGTCTTTTGGTTTTCTACCACTCGGAATTCAGTGTGTTCCAGCTGTCGCTTTTCTTGATCAGATAGACTCTGTAAGCTTGTGGACTTCTAGACGACTCCAGAGGCCTCCCATAGTGCATTGCATCTTGGGTTTCAATGTTTGTCAGCTGCGACTCTGTCTACATGGGATTCGCCAGCCACGGTTTCGTTCAGGTTGCTTTGGGAGCACTAAGCTTAGGGCTCACGTCTGACAGGGTTCAGTGTGCAGATACCGTTGCGTCCGATAGACGCAGTATGCCAGCGAGCGTCGGAACAGAAAGCTATACTTCACCGAAGGCAGATTATTATTTCAAGCCTTTTGGCAATAGGTGAAGAGGCTTGCCGGGACAGGATTCTTGTATCAGGCGCTTGAAGGTTGCCATTCTGTATAGGGTTGGTGGCCTCCAAGCCAAAATAGATCTTCGTAGGGCCGAGGGGCCATGGCAGCCAGCTGTCCGTAGTCTCGCAAGTCGCAGTCTGCGAGTGTTGGGACTCTGGGCCCTGAGGTGCGACAGGTGATTTAGTGGTGTTGGGCTGCACCGTGTTGCTATCGTTGGCCGACATGTAATCTTCCGCTGACTTATTTCTTTGCGACTCGTGACTTTCGGCTTTCCTGGCCGGCTCTTTCTCCGACTACTTTCCGATAACACTCCGTGTGAGGGCCCATAGGGTAGCTTGGGTGGGTCGTGTAAGCCGTAAGCATATCGTTATAACATCAAGCCTGCTTCAAGCATGCTGGTGTTCCGTTGACCCCTGGGCGTGAGGCAGGTACCGTGGTGCTTGCACGCAGACTCCGTGTCCGGGTGGCACTGTGCCAGGACATTATGCAGGTGCCGCTCGGCCGAGCGCAGTCTCTGCTCGAGCGCTCTGATTCAGTGCAGACACGTGAAGCAGACTCAGGAGTGCTTTTGTCGCCCGCCCAGCATTGGTCACATCGTTTGGAGGCAAGCGTCCAATCCTGGTGCTGTTTCCCCTGTGCACGAATGGTGCAGGCGAGCCGAGAGCAAAGGCTCGGAAGGCTTTTGAAAGTGTGTCCACAGCCCTATGCTGCCGGCCCGTCTGGGCGGAGAAGCTGCAGGCGGAAAGAACTCTACTGGTACACTCGGTGCAAAGGCCTCAGCCCTCGCCAACTAGCATCATCGGATACCTCGAAGATTCGTTGGTTCCAGGTCGCATCCTTCCATGGAGAATGTGTCCTTTTGCCTTGTCCAGATGGCTCTTCTCGGGCGTCGGTGGGAAGCTCAGGCAATATCACGAAAGCTAGCCTCCGGGGCTAGCTGAGATTCTTATCAACCGAAGGTTGCAACAACGGGTTTGGGGAAGGATTCCTCTTCGCAGGTGGACACTTTTTGTTTGCGGGCCAGACTTCACCTGGAGCTGGATCAATAAAATCCAAGCAAGACATGAATGGAACCAAAGAACATCCAAAGAGCCAAATCTATAATGGTAAATCTTAGTTGTACCACTCACTCTTGTCGTTCGTCATTCTTCGCTCACTTCGTTCCTTCAGTTTATTGTTAAAGTGAAGTGAATGCAGGGAACGGAACCACAAATGATAAGTACCGGGAGAGGAACTGTTAGGATCAATCACATCCGTGACACAGGGCACCATCACCATGCGACAGCCGATCAATGAGACAGTCCTCAGATCCACTCGATCTGCAGGTGATCGCAGCGCAGCATTGTCAGGTTTTCAAGCCAGAGCCCTAAGTATCAAGCGACATGCCCGACCAATTCGCCTGATTCGACCGCAAGTGGAGGACTTAATTGAAATCTACAGAAGACGCGGTTTCGAACTTCAGGAGCTTTTCAAACTCGCGTCGAAGTTTCGTGCCTAAAAGACAGTTGCTTTCTGAATTCTGCATTGCTGTACTTGTCAGATTCATGTATCTCAACATGTCAGGTACCCGAAGCATTGCTCAGGTCCAAAGACAGCCACCCAACTTAGGCACCAATCGTCGTTGCAGGCATGGATCAACAAATGATGAATGACACTCGCTGGCGCATCGACCGCGCTTCCACGGCACAGCTGTTGGAGCTTTTGTGGCAAATATGGGATCGACTCAATCGGCGCTTCAGGTTCATGGACGGTCCCATCAGATGTCACCGACAGTGTGAGAATTGTGCGAACCGCTGTTGTCATCACAGTCATTCCACGACCGAAGAGAGCCGCCACGAATGGTATGGACCGCATCGCTGTTTCATGCACGATGACAATGGATACGAATACTTGTGACCACAGACAGCATCAGTGCATCAGTGGCTAAGGTGAGCGTCGCATGCATTCTCTCTCTCTCACTGTCGGTGCTGCATTCTCTCTCTCTCTCTTGTTTGGCAGAC